TCTTCTTCTTCTTCTTCTTCTTCTTCTTCTTCTTCTTCTTCTTCTTCTTCTTCTTCTTCACTCTCCTTCACCCTCAATACACTCGCCCTCCATGTCTCCCATCAACATCCTCCTCACTTGCACCACCCTCGCACTCCTCTCCCACGCACAGACCTTTCTCAACTACTCCGCCATCAGCAACACTTCCACCTCGGCCTGTCCCGGCCCGGGAGGAGCACACATCATCGTCGCTCGCGCCTCCACCGAACCACTCGGGTACGGCGTCATTGGTTTCGTCAAAGATCGCGTCCTCGCTCTCAACCCGGCCTCCAATGCCGATTATGTCGTCTACCCCGCCACTCTGACCGACTATGTCAATTCCGAAGCTGCAGGAGTCCTCGGTATGAGAGCTCTCGTGGAAACCTTTTTGGCTCAAACAGATTGTCATAATGCACCCATTGTTTTGATGGGATATTCGCAGGGCGCACAAGTCGTCAATGATTATCTCTCGGGTCAAAATCTCAATGTCATTCCCCATAACTCCACCTTGGAATCTCCTGCTCCCGCTTCCACCTTCGACCGCTTGGCTGCTGCTGTCACCATGGGTGATCCCTCCATCAATATTACCAATAATCCGTTTCATATCGGCAATTCCACGCAATCGGGCTTATTCCCTCGCCAGGACAATTCCAGCGCCGTGCTCAACCAGTGGGAGGCGAAATTGCAGAGTTATTGCGATCCCTTGGATCCCTACTGTGCGAGTGCCGGCAATTTTGACAACATCTCGGTGCATTTGGGCTATGTCCAGGAATATGGGGAAGATGCGGCCCAGTTTGTGGTGCAGAAGATTCAAGAGTACTATGGTGCAAATGGCTCGAATTCTACTGCTGGCTCGACCAATTCTACTTCCGGGTCGACCACTCCGTATACTGGTACAGCGGCGAGTACTCATGTCGGGGGTACGATTGCCATGCTTCTCTTCGCTGTGGGAGCGGTGTCTCTGTTGGGCTTGTAACAAGAGAGTGGACTCGGAGTGGACTCGTGCACTGGTTCTGTCATCATCTCCTCTGATTACTCATAAACTAAACCTCTCGGTGCACCACAAACTTCCCTCTGCCTGCAATATGGATGCGCGACAGATATCCCGGATTGATGATGGGATTATGCAACTGCGCAATGGTGCTCATGCACGCCGCCGCCGGATCTCCCGAGGCACTCAAACTGCCTTGCCAGTACTCATTCCCCGGAAAGGCATTGGCGTCCCACGCATAACTCACCACCAAGAGTTTGCCCTCGTCACTTCCCGTCAGCTTGTCCGCGGGATCACGGCCGTTGGTGAATCGGATACGGATGCCTTTGCGGGAAGCCGCTTTCTCCACGTGCGCTCTCACGGTGGGTGCAATAGCCGGCATATACGCGAATTCGATGGTGCTGATTCTGTGTTGCGAGGGAAGCGTGTCAATGGCAGCTGCAAATGCTTGGATGAAAATGTCCTTTTGCGCTGCACTGTGCATCCACACTCCCAAGCCGAGACCCACCACATACACATATGCCGTCTGACCCGCCTCTCCGACGGGATCCGCCTGCTGGACGCGATCGTGGGCTTCAAGCAACAACATCTCAGCCGGAATCCTCATCCGAGCCTCGAACATGCGTCGATCCAGTGTATTTCCCGCAGCGAGCGACTCGTCCATGGGTTCGACCCCAAAGAAATCACAAAAGATTTCCTGTAAATGCGGATGCATCTGATACGGAGAAGACTTCTTCTTCTTCTCCCCGGTTAACATAAAAATCGAATCCATCCTCTCTTTCCTCTCAAACCTCGCCCCTACCAATCCCATAATAATCCCTCTCCTCTCCCACTCTGCACCCGTCTCCAATTTCCCCCCATTCAACCTCCCACCACGATTAATAAAATACGACGGTCCCGACACACCCATCAACGACCCCAACATCATCTCATCATAACTCAAATATTCCCTCAAATCCCTCAAAAACCGATTCTTCTTCATCCCCTCATCCTTCCCATTCCGATCCCATTCCTCCCTCGCCCCATCAGAAATCTTCCTCCCATCCCTCAACACCGTAAAATCCTTCTCTCCCATAAACACCACAGCCCTTTTCTCCAATAACCTCCTCACCAAATCCTCCCATTCAAATTCCCTCTTCTTGTTTCCTTCTCCTTCTCCTTCTCCACCTTCAGAATACAACACCTTTTCCAGTGCTCATCCAAACTGCAATTTATGCGCGAGGAAATTATTCACCAACTGTGGAAAACGGGCATGCACGACAATGGAGGTTTGTGTGGCGTCGGAGAGAATTTGTGCAGGAGGGAAATTTGTGATGTTGTTGGAAGAAGTGGGGAGGGGGATGAGAGTTTTCGGGGCGGATTTGTGGTGCAGGTGGAGGAAGGGATAGTTGGAGGGGGGATAGGGGGGGTGGTGGTTGTGGTTGGACATTTGGGTGGGCTTGGGAGGGGGGGATGTTCGGTTTTTCCCCTTTTTTCTTTTTTTTTTCTTTCTTTTTGGAGGGAGGGAGGGAGGGAGGGAGGGAAGGAGGGTCAGGTATATGTTTATATTATAAAGGAAGCTATAGAAGGAATGAAGGAATGAAGGATGTAAAGGAATGGAAGGAAGGAAGTACATGCAGAGATGCCTTAGGGCAAGATCAGAGCTGAAGCTGAAGGGAGTACAGGGATTCTTTCTTTATCGATAGGAGGAGACACCGCTCATTCTGCGGTAGTACATGTAACATCATATTACTTATACTTTCTTTATTCCTATCCCGATGTTCATCATTTTGTCTCTCCTGAAGACTATCGACGACGACGACGGCGAGGGATAAATGTATTCCTAGGGATCCATGCATCTTGGCCTATCTCCCTTATTACCTACTAGGTATCAATCAAATCGGCACGACCCGGAGATGCATAATCCAACCACCCCTCCAACTCAACCGAAAAAAAGAGAAAAGAAAAAAAAAACGAAAAAAGAAAAAAGCATATCCACATCCTGCATGATAGGAGAAAGTTGATACAAGAAAAGTACCTCCCTTGAGCAAGAGACCAAAAAATCCCTCCAGCCAACCAACCAACCAACCAACCAACCAAAAGAAAAACGAACAACAAAACCAACAAGTAAAAAAACCGTCCTCCTCCCCCTCCCCCTCCTCCTCCAAAAACAACAACCAAAACAAAAAAACCATGCCCCCCGCCCTCCTCCATAAATTCCCCACCTCCTCCCCCTCAGACACCACCCCTCTCACCTCACTCCTGAAACTCGGCTACACCCGCTCCGACATTCTCGGCATCATCGGCAAAACCGAAGGAAACGGGTGCGTGAATGATTTCTCTCGGACGCTGGCGGCTTTTGTTTGGGAGAATTTACTTCTTCAGGACACAGAGACAAACACAAGTACAGGGACAAGTGGGACAAGTACAGGTGGTACTTCTGTGGTGATTTTTTCGGGTGGGACAGAGGGGGTTTTGTCGCCGCATGTGACTTTTGTTGTTCGGGAACGACAACAAGATAGTAAGAAGGAGAAGGGGGAGGGGGAGGGAAAGGAAAAAAGGACGGGATTAAAAGCTGCAGTGGGACGAACATGGCAATTACAACCGTGGGAAATTGGAGGAAAAAGTCAAGTGGATTGTGTGGCTGTGACGGTGAGAAAGATGTTGGAAGAAGAGAAAATCCGACCGGAGCAGGTGGCGTTGGTGTTGGTGAAATGTCCGTTGTTGACGAGTGAGAAGATTGCGAAGATTCATGCTTTTTCTTCTTCTTCTTCTTCTTCTTCTTCTTCTTCTTCTTTTTCCGGCAATAAACAAGAGATGCTCATCACGAGTGATACATACGAATCCATGGCTCTCTCCCGACATGCAAGTGCCATTGGAGTAGGAGTCGGCTTGCGAGAACTCGCCCCCGAGCGCGTGGAAGAAGTGTTGAATAATGGAACATTTCACTCTTCTCGAGCATCATGTTCGAGCGGAGCAGAATTGGAAGCCTGTCATATTTTGATTTTGGCAAATGACGACAATCCTTCTCCTCCCTCTTCTTCATCCTCATCCACCACTGAAAAAGAAGAAGAAAAAGAAAAAGAAGAAAATCAACCACCAACCCTCTACCGCGCCTTCCCAGGAACAATGTCCTCAGCAATCGACATCACCAATCTCCAAACCCTCCTGCACACCGCTCTCACCCCACTCCCACCCTACACGAGCGCTTCTCTCGTTCAAATTTTCGCCAAAGCCGAAGCCGATCCTACGGGAATGATCAATCAAAAATATCGTCACACCATGTTGACGGACTCGGATGTGCAGAGTACGAGACATGCTCGGGCGGCGGTGGGAGGGCTGATTGCGGGTGTGTCGGGGGATTGTTGTGTGTATGTTTCGGGTGGGGCGGAGGGTCAGGGGCCGAGGGGGGGTGGGGGGTTGTGTGTTGTTGTGAGGTGGGAGATGTGAGAAGAATATTTTGCTCTTTTCCGGGGGGGATACTGTTCTGTTAATTGGATAGGAAAAAGTTGAAGATGGAGATATCAAGTACATACTTCACCTCGAGTTGAGTTGGTGACTAAGCACTGTTGGCGGTCCGGCCATTTTTTGCACTATACTTGCATCTTATGTCTGACATGGCTTCTTCTAAAATGTCTCTCGCCAAATACATAATCAGTCAAGTTATTCACTATACACCTAAGTTTGTGTTGTAGCATTGATATCCGTTTTCAGCCTGAGGCAGAACTTGACGGAACGCGGCCCGAGGCGCAATCTCGCATATCACAAATGTTTTCCCAATGCCAATTACCTACCCTGCCAGCACAAACACAGCAACCAAAAAAAATGAAGCGCAAAGCCAAAGACAGCGGCGAAACTTCCAGAGAAAGCAATGAAGACCACCGAAAAAAACGCGCGACCGAAACAGAAGAAGATGAAATACGCAAACGCTTCCGCCCAGGCCTCTTCGATCCCGCCACCGTGCAATCATACGCCGAAAACTACGCCCACTCAACTCCCTATCTCCACAGCGTCGTTTCCAATCTAATGAACGACGACCTGCTCCGCAGCGTACGGCGAGAAATCCTCGAAAATATCCACTTCACGCCAAAAGAGACGGATATTTACAAAATCCAGCAATCGGGAGATTTGGCGAATTTAGACGGTTTGCCAGCTTCGGCGTTGGAGAAATTACCGTCGTTACTGAAATTGCGAGATGCGTTGTATGGAGAGGAATTTCGATCGTGGGTTTCGGCGGTTTCGGGAGCGGGTCCATTATCGGGGACGAAGACGGATATGGCTGTGAATGTTTATGTTCCGGGGTGTCATCTTTTGTGTCATGACGATGTGATTGGCACGAGACGAGTGAGCTATATTCTGTATTTGACGAATCCGGATCTTCCCTGGAAGGCGGAGTGGGGAGGTGCTTTGCGCTTGTATCCTACTGATGAGGTGCAGGGGGAAGAGGGTGATGGCAAGACTTATAAGTTGCCGAGGGCGGAGTGGACGAAGGTGATTCCTCCGGCGTGGAATCAACTTTCTTTTTTTACTGTGCAGCCTGGTGAGAGCTTTCATGATGTTGAGGAAGTGTACCACCGTGCAGTGGGAGAGGAGGAGGAGGATGATGGCGGTCGCGTCCGAATGGCAATTAGTGGGTGGTTTCACATTCCTCAGGAAGGAGAAGATGGATTTGAGCCTGGTTTGGAACAGAAACTGGCCGAACGAAGCTCTCTGCAGCAATTGCAAGGAAAAGCCGATCAGTTTGATGAACCACAACAAGAGTGGCAAATCCCCACAGGAGAGACTGCATTGGCAACGAAAGATGATGATGAGCCCGAACTCACCGAAGAGGATCTGGCCTTTTTGATCAAATACATGACGCCAAACTACCTCACACCAGACACGGTCGAAGAACTAACCGAGCTCTTCACCGAAGAATGTCTCCTCCAACTCACCAATTTCCTCAGCGAAAAATTCTCCGCAAAACTCAAAACATCTTTAGAAAATGGCGATGCCGAGAAACTGCCATGGGCCACCTCCAGACCCCCGCATAAACACCGCTATCAATATCTTCATGCACATCCCCATACCGACGAGTCCGCATCACCTCTGAGACAAGTCCTCGATGAACTACTCCCCAGCTCGGCATTTCAGAAATGGCTCGCACTCGTGACAGGATCGAAACTCAAGCGGTGTTCCGTCATGGCAAGGCGGTTTCGGCAAGGTTTGGATTATCAGCTCGCGCAAGGCTATGCAGGGGAACAGCCACAGTTGGAGTATACGTTGTGCGTGACACCTAGTATTGGTTGGGGTGGAGAGGAGGAGGAGGAGACAGAAGAACAGAATGGTAACAGCAAGAAGAAGAATAAGAAGAAGAAAGGAAAAAAGACTGAAGTCGAGGAAGAAGTAGAAGAAAAAGAAAAAGATAACCCGGGAGGCTACGAACTCTACATGGCCGGCGAAGACTCCGACTCCGACTCCGACTCCGATTCCGACGAAGACGCCAACGACAACGACAAAATCCCCCTTCCCCCGAACAATAATACCCAAGAACAATCCACAACAGGCGCCGGCCCCCGCCGCTCCTCCACCAAAAAGAAGCAAAAATCCGACCCAGCAATCTACAACTCGGCCAACTCCGAAGAAGACGACGGAATTCTCTTCAGTAATCCCGCAGGCTGGAATACTCTCAGTCTCGTCTTGCGCGATCGAGGAACACTGAAATTTGTGAAATTCGTTTCGAGGAATGCGCCTGGCGAGAGGTTGGATTTTGTGGGGGGTGTGGAGGTTGATGATGATGAGGGAGATGAGGATGATGATGAGTAAGTAAGGTAGGTAGGTAGGATTTTTTTTACTTGGACTTGAACAAAGACGAAGACGAAGACGAAGACGAAGACGGAAAAAAAAAGAAAGGGGAGGGAGAGAGAGGGGGAAGGTAGAATCCACCAGATCCAAAAAGAAAAAAAATGAAAAAAAATGAAAAAAAAAAGAGTACCGTAAAAGCAAATATATAACCCTACCGTAGGTAATCAAAGAAAAGAAAAGAAAAAGTGAATATATAAAGTACCTAGAGAGTTTAACTCTACTTATACATCTGACCTAACCTAACCTATATATCTACCTTACCTTTTTATCTCTATACCTTTTTGTTTTTTCCTCCTGACCCTCGAGAGAAAGCGGAAGGGAAGGATTTCTTCTTCTCTCTCTCTCTCTTTTACACACTCGAGAAGAAGAAGAAGAAGAAGAAGAAGAAGAAGAATACCTCAAGCGCAACGGCTCCAGTTTACATTTAAAGGAAAAATGACGGTTCGCTTCATTACTGTTGAGGTCCTCTACTCGGCTTTAATCTAAGATGACGAAGTTATAGTAAGCTTGATATAATAGAGTGTGGAAGTAAAAAGTGCTCAGGGAGGTGGGGATTGTTCATCTAGGTTGTTGGGGCTAGGTAGGAGATTCGCGGTCGGTCAGCGAAGTACCATGTAGATAGATGATACTGGTTGCATAGGTGGGTGGATGAATCAGGGGTGCGTAGGAAGGGAACGCGGTGGTTTTTTCGCGGGCGGCAAACCCATATATATCTCGGATTCTCCGTTCGCTCGATTCCTATGGTCGATCCTAGCAGGTGTCTTCCGTACGAGGACCATTTGCAGCTCGGCTTCGTTGCTGGAGGATATGTGGTTGCCAGGCGGAGACGATGCAGCTTCACTTCTTCCGTCTTGCGGCTCCACTAGCTTGCATGCGTGCGTGGTTCTTGGAGTCTGCACGCTGTTCTGTGAGCGCACGTTCCCTGCTTTTCGCCGGGCGACGCATCGACAGTGTCCTCCATGTTGGTGGTGTTTGGTAGTTGTCCGTGTCGAAAGTTGAGACGCGGACGAAGTTGATCAGAAAAGGGTGTGTGTGTGTGTGTGTGTGTGTGTGTGTGTGTGTGTGTATGACTGTCCAAAAGCCTTCAAGTCATTGCTAGGTATACTCGAGAAGTATGTCACATAGTGGAAGATGGGAGCTATCGCGTCTCAACCGCGCAAAGCTGACGGTGGAATTGCGCAGGCTGTTGGTCACAGGAGAGCACAGCGATCTCATCATCACCTGCAATGGCCACAAGTGGAGCGTACACAAGGCCATCGTGTGTCTCGCTTCAGACTTTTTCCAGGCTTGCTGCAAGAACTTCAAGGTATGTATCGCGATCCGGCGATGGAATCGGGACTCGACTCTCTTCCGCTTGCGCTCCGTTCTAGCTCTCAACGAATGCTCAAGACTAATAGTGATCTTCAGGAGGCGTCTAGCGGTGTCATCGACCTGCCTGACGACAGATCGGACGCTGTAAATGCGCTGCTGTGGTACGCTTATACCGCCAATTACGACGATACCAAAGAATGTAGTGTATCCGACGGCCAGCTCATCCCACGGCCGATGCTCTTCAACGTCCTCGTACATACTGTCGGCGATAAGTACGGGATGCGCAATCTGTGCCAACTCGCCGAGGCCAAATTCGAAAAGCATGCTACCACGGAATGGCGAAGCGACGGATTTGCCGACGCCATCATCGAGATGTCTTTGACGTCGCCGGATCCCAAGAGAGTTCTCCTCAAGATTGCCGCTGAGATTGCGATCACGCATGCCGCTGATCTATTCACGGGCGAGGAGACCAGGTTTCAGGAGACTGTGCGCAACGTCGCGCCGTTCGCATTCAAGGTCACTTCGATATTATTGGAATCCCGACGATCAAACTTGTTGGTTACCGAAAAGCGCTTGAGGTGTATGATTTGTGCGAGGTCATTTATCATAGACACGAACCCAGGCACCACGAGCATCTCCTGTTGGTACTGCGGCATATGCCAGTACATTGATCGATTCGAGGCGTTGGAAATTTAAGATGTCTGAGTGCCACCTCTTTCATCCCATAACAACACAACGACCGCCGAAAGGGTTCAGCGGCAACATGTAGCGATAGATGCCGCCGGGATGTAGAACAGTCCATACTGTCCGAATTCTCATTGTCCATAAAGAAATCTCTTCACCGTCACTGCTGTCCAAGATCCCTAGTCGCCAAACATCGTGTAAGCAGTCGCAAACCGACCACTGTTCTCCCGATGCAACAACAACGGCGGGGTTTCGCATTGCACATTCAGTCATAGTGTACTCGAAGCAAAGCTTTTGCATGAAGAGTCCAAGGGCTTCGCCTTGTCTTTTCCAGTAACCATCTTTCTCTCGTCGAAATGAACTCCTTCCAATGTGCAACTCCATGTCGTCGATGTGGAAAAGTGGAATTATGGTCCATCGCAATGAAAAGGCAAGGCAAGGTACGCAAGATAAGGTAAGGTAGGAATGAAAAGATGAGATGAGAGGCCATGATAGGTAAGGTAGGTCAGGTAGGTAGGTAGTCCAGATGTCCGAAGCCCCTTCCTCCTCCCATTTTCAAATTCATTTCCCTCGAGCCCTATTTGCCAATCTCCCGAGGGACCACTTCATGCCGTCCTGGAATGATGAAGTTTCCCACTGAGAGAAGAGGAAGAATCGGTCATCGAGGCGTTGCGACAGAGATAGACGCCAGAGGACCTTTGCATCCCACACCTACCTACCTATGTACAACAACCTGGTACCACTTTGGTGGCTCCTGAGGCTCTTTCTCCTCGCAAGCTCGTGGAACTATCACACATGTCCTTCGGAAGGAGTAGCATGGAGTGTCCGTAGGACTAAGAGCCAGACATATACAATGGAGCCTATCTTTGTGCGAGATGTCTCACAGCGCAGATTCGACCTTCCAATATAGTAGAGGAAGGAGAATCCGTCTTCCGCCACATTGACTGACTTCCACATGGATGAGCCACATCATCGCCTTGAGGACGTGAGGAGGGGCACCATGGCAAGATTGGCGATGCTAGTGTGACCCAGGCAGAAGCAGTAGAGTGGTAGCTGATCTCCTCAGGGTCATTTCCAGTCCTGGAGCCAACTTTGACAGAAAAGTCTGGCCTGGTGGAGCACTTCCAAGAGCTCACAATCCATAGTACTTCCGGACCGATGAGTCCTGAGTGCAGACATCTCCATCACATCAGTCTCAAGGATGCATTTTGAGACTTCAACATCTATGCAGCAGCATTCATGACTTTTCTCTCCTTGACATCATCCATCACGCCATTTTCTCTCGCGGTCCCCGTGGCTGTAGAATCAGTCTCCGTCTTCACAGCCACCCCGTCCTTGACCACCTGCTCATGCAACTCCTTCAGCGCCTCCAACATCTTTCCTCTGACGTTCTCCATCAATGCATCAACATCCTCTTTGCTCATGCCCTTCGTACTCACAGGCTCCAAGACCCTCACGGGAATCCTCCCGGGCACAAACCTCTTCCTCTTTACATCCAGCACATTCGAATAGTTCGCGACCACGATCGGCACAACAGGAACCTGTGCCTGAATCGCCAAATGGAATGCTCCCTTCTTGAATGCCAACAGGTCCGGATGACTATAGTACGATCTCGTTCCCTCGGGAAAGATAAACACACTCTGTTTATGCGTCACCATCTGTTTCGCAGCCTCATCGAAAGCCGCAAAAGCCTGCGTTCTGGACTTCCGTTCGATAAAAACCGTCCGACTCAGCGCCATGAACCAGCCCAAGACTGGCGTATACTTCAAACTCTTCTTCGCAGTCACCACACACCACGGGGGGAACACATGTCCCAGCATACACACGTCCAATTCCGTTTGATGGTTTCCGACAAACACTGCCGGACGAGTGGTGTTCAACCATCCCCCTTCTTCCTGCGGACCGGCATCCTGAATCTCGAACCAGACGCCGGTAAAGAGGAGCATGGTCCATTTGAAGGCTCGTGCGGTGTAGTATTGGCCAAGGCCGCCGGCGTCGAAGAGGGATAGCAAGGCCGAGGCCACAGTACCGTAGGTTGCGCAGAGGATAAGGGCGAGGAAGGAAGCGAGGCTGCGGGCGTAAAACGACAGGATTGGGAGGTTGAGACTGCGGGAGAGGAAATTGAGGGCGTGGATGAGCAGTGTGAAGAGGGTGATGATGGTGGTGAGGTAGAAGAGGAAGGACGACATTTTGGCAGGGCGTGTTGAAGTAGGTCGGTATGGTTGTTGTTATGGGTGGGCCATGCGTTGTGGTGTTGTTGTTGTCGCTGTCAAAAAGGAAGGGTGTCGGTGTGGAAGAAATGGAAATGCAGATGAAGAGGTGAAGTGGGGTGAGGTGTATTTTTGAAGAGCCGAGAGGAAGAATCATCCATCACATGCACCCACCAACACACACCGCACAATTTGGTACCAGAACCAGATTTTCCCTGTCATGCGCCATGCCATGTACACGCACGTGGATCTGGACCAAGTGGTCAGATCTGTACCATTCAACCGTAGAGCTGCTGGAGGTACTGCTACTGCTACTGTGCAACACAGACTAGGTATCATACACACATCCATCGCCTCCCATCATCACCGCCCTATTCCACACTCGTTGGAATTTTGACTATGCCTCTCTTCCGATCTTCATGCGGCATACCATACCTCGCACCCACACCCTCCCGACTCCTCCCATTCTTCCCCACCTTCTCCGCGCTAATATCCTGAAACTTGAAATCCCATCTCCGCGTACTAACGATCCTCTGCGACCTCTCTTCCCAAGCAGCCTTCTTAGCTTCCGCTTTAGCCTTGGCCTCCTGAATATCTTGATCGCGTTTCTGCTGACGCGCCCAGCGCTCCTCCCTGCTGATTCCCGCTCGACTGTCCCTTTCAAGATCGATGAGCTCCGGATGAGGGATGCGCTTATCTGCTGGTAGGAGATGGTCGTGAAATGCCTTGGCGGCATCTTCACGAGTGAACTGACGAGATTCCGAGACTGGGACGAAGAGCTGTTGTCTCGTTGCGGGGTGCACTGGGAGATCGTTGACAGATTCGTGCGGAAATATCTGTCGTCTGGGATTGTTCGGTTTGTATGGCGTTTGCGGTAGCATAGCCAGGACTGCATCATTGTACGCCTTGGCGAGTGGTTTGTTCTGCACATGCACCGTTAGCCAATCCGTACTTCCACTTGTGTGTCATCGTAGCCATGTATAGATGCGATCCAATCAGATAGGAGCGAAATGTTAGTAACCATGTAGTTGTCTTCAAGACTAATCGAAAAATTTCATCATCATCATGTGGAGGAGTTTGCGTGTGGTCAGAGACCAGAGGAACAGTATCACGATGACAACTCACCTCAGCTTCCCACGACTTCTCAATAGTCTTCAAGCGCACCACAGCAGCAACTCTTCTCAAATCAATCCCAAAAGCCGCGCTGACAGTGGAGATATCCACTCCCGCACCCACTACTTTTGCATACACCTCCTCTCGCAGCTCTTCAGATAACACCCTCTCTGATCGAAAATTCTCGTTTAGCGGAAAAGGCCTCATATCGTTTAATTTTTCTTTCACCATCCCACCTCGCGCCTCCATCTCCACTTTATCTTCTCTCTGCTTCGCTCTCGTCTTCACGTTTTTCGCAATCGTCGCCTCATCCAATCCTTGCTTTCTCTCTTCTTCTTGAATCGCCTCTTCTTGTTCAACAGGTGCAACATCAATCACTTTAGGATCAGCAGCAATCGCCTGCCCCCGCCGATCGCTGTTATTGAGACTTTCGAGCCTGTTGAGATTTCCGTATTTATCATACGCAGACATATAATTCGTGCTGCTCGGTAACGGATCCCGGAAGACTTTTCCGGGCCCATTGAGCCATTCCCACATGTCGCGCCGTTGACGAGTGGCTTTGGTGCCCGATTGGCGATGGAAGTCGCGGGTTTGTTGCGTGGAGATGGTGGTCGCAGAGGAGGAGCCATGGCTCGTAGAAGAGCTTTCATGGAGGACTGAAGGCCGTGTGCGAAAACATTGGCATGTCGGTTGAGGTGGGAGACGATGGGATGGTATTCGGGGAGGCATTCTGGTGACGATGATGTGTGTTTGATGATGGAGGTGTTTCCTCGTCTTGTGAAGTAAAAGGACGGAGATGGAAAGGAACCCCCGAGCTTGGATTCGCTTGGCGCGAGGCAATGAACTGAGGTGATGAAGTGTTCCTGCTCCTTTGACTCTTGCAACATCAACATCAGCTGCTACATGTAGAACACACAACATTGCCATCACACTGATCATCGGCTGTGAGGGAAGGGAGACACAATGACAATTCGACGTTCGAAGCATCAATTCATGGCACAACGTCGTACTCATTCACCACAAGAAGATCATCTCAAGGGAGGCCTCTATCTAATAAACACCCACACGTTTCTTTGAAGGCGCTCGCTATACGACATTTCCGGCGCTCTTCTCGCCTGATGTACCAAGTGCGCCAGATATCGTCCACGATATCAACAGATGTCCAGTCTCGCGCCTCGCGGCACAGTATACAACGTCTTGATTTCCATCTCTGGGCGACGGCGGCAGGCCGCATTCATACTTTCCTACCCTCTCGCCCAGGGGGGTAACAACTGCACGGCTACTGATATCCCTTCCTCCTTGCACACATCTCCTCTGCAGAGAGCAGCCCTGCATTTCCATCCCTTAATTGTATGTACGTCGTATACTTTATCACGCGCGGCGAGAGCAGTCTATCGACTCACGTCCTTGCCTGGTGAGAGCAGTATAATCTACATATTGCGTTGCGAAATTCACCTTTCATCAATCACAGGTTGGACCTGTGGCGCAGCGGTAGCGCGTCTGATTCCAGCTCTTGGAACATCCAGAAGGTCATCCGTTCAAATCGGGTCAGGTTCATCTCTTTTGTTCATCTTTTGTTTGTTGTTGGGAAAGGAGAGAGAGGTCCATTCGCACTTCGAAGCTCGAAGAGAGCTGGCCGAAGAAGCAAGATCGGCGCTTTTGTTGTTTTGCTTGAGAAAAAAATCCTTTGAGCTCTGGATTTTGGCCATGTGGGGTGTCTTGGACTGATGAAATTCCCCCACCACTTCTATCCCCTCCCCCCTGCATCCTATGCTGACAGGCAGGGCATTTGGAAGACTACGTACATTCGGAGTACTACTGTACAGGTACCTACTGTGCATCTATGAGTATTCCCGCAAATGTCCAACATCGATCAAGTTGAGTCAGGTTCCCAGAAACGGCCCCGAATTGCATTTCAGCTTTTCCCGAAACCGAGACGCCATACGACGAGGAAGAAAAGGATCTGTTTAGATATCACCCCATCCGAGAATACGAATGAGTTTACTAGGCCGTGAAGGCGAGAAATGATATCGAGCAGCAGGGAATCGTTTGTGCAAGCAGGACATGAGAATGCAGAGTGCAGCGTTCCTTGTCGAAATACCTAGTATTACAGCACAGTACACTATGACATATTTACAACGCCTTAATAGCATTCAAATAAGTCTTCCCCGTCCTCGACAACGTCCCATCACTCTTCGTCAGCGGCCAAACACTCCCCAACCCCGCTCCATTACTCGGTCCATATCCGACAACATCACTCTGACTTTGCAGATACTTCACAGTACTCTTGACAAAATTGTTGATCGCCCTCTGATCAGTACAAGGGGTAAACCCTCCTTGGTCGTACACACAAGCGAATTCAGACACGAAGATAGGTTTCCCGTATTTTTTGCGATAGTATTCCACATCGGCTTTGACGCCGGCGAGGTCGGGTTTGTTGATGTGGATGGATGTGAGGTTCCAGGACCGCGTGATTTGAGCTTGGAACGGAGTGAGGAAGTCTTCGTCTTTTTGTTTGCACATGCTTGGGGAGCCGAGGACTGTGCCCTTTTTGGCCAGGGGAGCGAGGAGGTTGTTCCAGTTGGTCGCTGCGGCTTGGACTGTCATTTCGGAGGAGTAGGGGCAACTGCAGTCTAACGCGAATGTTAGATGGTTGTTGTTGCCTGACGGGAGGACTACACGGAATGCTTACCGGGTTCGTAGAAACCAAGCATTAGCCTGGGAGTAGATTTGGCTACGGTCGCTTGAAAGGTCTGTACTCGTTGTGCGGAGGCATCGCAGTTTGAGCCTGGGCCTCCCCAAAGCATAGGCACGCCTTGGACTCTGCCAACGTTGGGTGTGTCGGGATTGTAATCGGAATACCAGCCAATGTAGCGAGAAAGGTCTTTGAAACTCTGCGTGCTTTGAATGCCAGGGTAGCCACTCAGGCCTGCTTTCTTGGGGACTATGGTTTTTCCTAGGACATCAGGGAACTGAGCCAAGACCGCCAGTACGGCGAAGAACTGATACTGCATGGTTGAATTGTATTGCGGATGAAGAGTACTCGGCTTGGTTTATCTCATTCGCATAGCAATGGATCTGCATATATACGTCTTCCATAAGATCAACGCCACCTGTAAGTGTGAAGACGCTACCGAAGAAGATCGGTGCCAGAGTGGACATGTTCTGCGAGCTTGCAGGTCTATAGCAAGGCTAGGCGCCTGTATTCCAGCTGTGGCTTCGGCTCGTATTTTCGAGATCTCGTCGACCGGCCTCGATCATGCTATCGAATAGGGATCGGGAGTCGGAATTACGGTGGTAGTAGCGGGTTCACGCCGTGAAGAACAAGGCGGGCAGGCGATCGGCGAGACATATCTCAAGCGTCCCATTGATTGTAGCTTTTGGCACGCTCGCACGTCTGGAACCAGAACGGACGCAAATGGTAGTCAATTATCCGAACTACACCCTGATCCCTTATCCACAGGAAGCGAAAGTCTCGCCCTCTTTGATATAGCAGCGCCAGACGCGCTCTCGGTGCACGGGTTAATGCCGGCGTCACAGGTAGGTGGTAGATGAATGGCAACGGTCGAAGGAAGAGAAAGAGGAGGAAAAGGCGAATGAGGGGGTACATATCCACTTTCACGTGCATAGAACTCTCTTGGCATTGCTCAGTCACACTTCACGTCACCTCCAACGCGTCCTCTTCCTTCAGGTTGACATTGACAACACCACCACCTCCGTCATGCCAGCCGCAACATCAAAACGCGTGCGCGGCATCAAGATCTCGCGCCACTTCATCATCGGTAACGAGGCCCACGTCCTGCCCCATCCTAACTATCCCTCCCCAGCACCTGAAGGCCACACCAAAGGCTGGAAAGTCTATGTCCGTCCTCTCCCCAATGGCCCCGATATAACCACGTGGCTCAAGAAAGTCCAATTCAAACTTCACCATACCTATGCTGATGCTTCGCGGACCATCGAATCTTCCTCCATGATCGACCCGGACAAAGGGTGCGCCAAAAGAGACATCTCATTCGAGGTCGCTGAGACCGGATATGGAGAATTCTCGGTAGAGATAAGACTCTACTTCGCGCCAGAAAGTGGGGAGAAGGCGATCTATCGCGAGCATTATCTGACGCTGTCGCCGTACGGAGACGAGAAGCAGAGAGCTAAGCAGGAGAAAGAGAATCTGGTTGTTGCTGAGCGCCTTGAGATGATTGAGTTCAATGAGCCCACAGGTGACTTTGCGAAGATGATGATGAGTGAGGATCAGTTCAATTGGTTGAAGGTGAAGAAGGGAAGAGGGAAAGGGAAGAAACCGGATTTCGTGTTCGAGGGTCAAGTCGAGCCTAGTGCACAGTTGCCGGAGAAGGCAATCGGAGAGGGAGGCGGGCCGAATGGCGCCGCGTGGAGTGCGCAGTACGAGAAGCAGGTTTTGGCGCAGTTGGAGAAGGGTCGGGAAAAGCTTGACTCTATGCTTGAGGAGGAAAAGAGGAGGATGGAGCAGAGGCGGAAAGAGCTGGAAAAGCTGGGTGGAGGTGTGAAAGCATAGAGATCGTCTCAAGAAAACATGAGGCTCTAGGATTGGGTCTGGGACTTCTATGCGAATGTCTCGTGTCCCAGTCACACTGATTGCTACAGGTAAAGTATGGACCAAATCAGGATGTAATGAATCCACCACGAACGAACGATTTCATCAAAATCGTGTCAAACAAGGTAATGTCCAAGTCCTGTTCACGGCGCGGAGACTTCCATCCTGATAGCGGGGATGTGAGCAATCGCGGCCAAAAGATGAAATCGTGCATGGAACTCCCGCGGCTGAGAAGGTATATGGGGCTCGTGAACAACACTCTGGAGGGGAGGCGAGAGCCGTGGTGTCAGGCTACGATACGAGGGAGAAAAGCTGATGCATTGGACAGCAGGGAATGAATGTCAGGTACGTGTATTTCAAATGCTTCCCTTTCGCTCGCTCGCTTGTCCAGTATATGCAGCACTTAGGTAGGTAGGTATCGTGGCAGGCACGCTGCTAGCTCGAGGACCATCGCCCCAAACGCGACTTTTATGCCTGGGTGCATTCTATTACATTTGTGTACATCTCATCAGCAATTCTCAGACAAACTCTGATCGGTATGTGCAAGAAATAGAGTGGTGATAGAGTGATTATACACAACCCCAGCAGCGCCTCGCTATGCCGCCCGCCTTGATGGTGGACAAGATCTATCGTATGCAGATGCCGCTTCGCCTCGCTTCGCCTCTTACACAAAGCAGACCCGCACCCACTGTGGCGGAGTGATGAAGATGCGCTCTGCTGTAGTCATCGTCTCTGCGGTATTATACACCCCGTCTATTCCTCCAATAACGCCTTGCGCGCCAGCTGGGAAATCCATTAGTCTCTCACTCCAATTGACGTTCTGCATGATCAACACTTACCGCCCATGAACCCGCCATCGACCCCACAATCGCACTAGAAATCATCATCGGCCTCACTCCTCTCGTCGCCTTGAACACCGCTCCACTGATACTCCCCGCCGCGATGCTATTTAGAGCATCATGTTTCCCCCGATAATATCCAATCGTGCTGTTAATACCATTGTACATCATCGCCACCACACCTGCCGAGTTCCCCAGGAACGGCCCTCTTCTCGTGATGGAGTTGAGCGCCGAGTTCAGTCGCAGCTTCGGAGGCGCAGTCGAAGGTAATTTGCTCAACCCTTCCCTCAAACCCCACGCGCCTCCTATCACCAGGCCAGAGAGGTATGTGACGCCGGTCCCATAGCAGAGATCGTCGGACCAGCCTCGCGACGGGAGGAGGGACTGGCTGCCGGGGAGGTCGGAGAGGATGTCTTCGTCGAGAGTGAGGTAGTCGAGCGTATCTTGGTTGAGACCTGCTAGCGGGTGGAGCGCGGCGGGGTCGAAGCCTGCTGAAGGGCTGGTGATGAAGCTGCCGACATCTTCGGCGGTCGGGGTGGTGAAGGTGGGTTGCGCTATTTGGTTTCCGGCGTGGTCGTGGAGATTGTCTGTAGTTGCTGTCGCTGTCGCCGTCGCTTTTGGTTTGCCTGTGAAGACGTCCCAGACACCCATTGTGAAGTTTCCCCCTATATCTTCGCTGGCGTGGTGATGGTGATGGTGATGGTGTACAAGGGACGGTGTGGGCGGCGACGACAAGTGCGATGGTTGATGATCATCATCTTTTCTCGAAACCGCCGAAAGAGAGCGTCGACGTCGCCAGCCCAAAGGGGAAGCCGCCACCGGGCCGACTTTGCTTCCGATATTTCTTCTATTTTGCCCGCATGACTTCTTCCAAATTCTGGTTCTTCGACTGGAACCTCACCTCCTCCTCGCCACCTTTGGGTATGTCGAGTGCCATGTGTGCGGAGGCGACGATGAGTACCTCTACTCAGCTTCTGGATGAAACTCATCTGAAAAAGATTTCGAGGTCGATACGAGATTATATCCCGAGCACTGCAACTGATGACAGCGAGGACGATACGACAGCGTAAGGCGATCTCCTCCCAACCTGTATAGCTTATATCAGCCATGGCGGAGAGTGGCTGATGGGTAAGTAGACCGCTTCGACTTCTACTTGACAATGTCTTGTATACGAGCAGCTTTCCTATCTTGAGTATTGCACATCGTACCGCCGCCTGGAATACGCTCTGCTCACTGATCGACCAGTCTTCGCAGTCAGCGGTCGAAGCTGTGAGACAGACCATCTGGGACCATGGAACGTGGAGACGTGCCCTGCGTTTATATCTTGATCATGCCCATAACGCTCGGCCAAAGTCTTCGAGACAGCTGCTAGTCACTCTAACGAGTGCGCTCCAGAAGCAGGTGGGAGACTTGAGAGCGCGAAGCTTGGAGCTCGCTACGAAGGCTTTGGTGAGTAGTCTCGTCGACTACGAGGATCCACCAAGAGCCAAGGCTGGCATACAACTTTTGACGACTTTCATCTCAAAGCAATTGCTAGACGTCAAGGACCTACCGAGCGCCTTCACGAGTCTTCGTCCAGGTATTCATGTCCACGAAGGCTTTCTCGGCGCTCGAGATCTTCTCGAAGTCCTTTTCCGATGGCTTGGGAAAGGCGACTTTGGCTCCACCATTGCCTCGAGCGTGTCTACTGTCCTGGAACGACTTGATTACCATGACGCCGAGCTGAGAGGCAATGTCGGAAATGCACGTGAAGTACAACCATGGCGGACGCCTCTCGAGAGCAGCTACCGCCAAGGTGGTATCAACATGGATGACCTACGAGCCCACATATTTCCTATGCTGTTTCGGCGGAGGCCTGAGGACTTCTCGACTTATCTGCACTGGTATGGGATCGAAGTCGGGCGTGATTACTCTACAAAAATACCCAGTTTTGATTCGTACGCCGAGATGCTCTATGCTGCATTACATACTGGCAAAGCTATTGGGTTGCTCACAGAAACAGATGACAGGACTGTCACTTGTGTCGATAACGTGGTGGGCGTTCCCATAAGCATCATCAGATCGCTCATGACCAGCTCGGATCGCTCCGCACGCTTGGCCGGGCTGTCTGTACTGCTCGTGTCGCCCGTTCCATCGAAGCCTCTTTCTGTGAGTGCTCTGGCTCTGGTGAAGAAGGCCTTTGGAGTATACTTAGCAGACGTCGATGCAGACTTTCGTAGTGAAGTCTTCGGCGCGTTCCAGAGACTTGTCGATCGGCTCAGGTCTGTTACTGCTGTGCTTTCTCGTGCTAATGCCCTCTCTGCCACGATCGAGATGGCTCGAATCACTTTGCAAAAGCACCAAGACCTGCTCAAGTGGCTATTGCGCTTCCTTACACAAGAGCTGCGACCGACGGCAAGCTATCAGAGGCATATATGTGCACTGAGATGCCTGTCGATGCTCGCACGCTCTGGCCTGGACCATGGGGTCCCTGCTCGAGAGTGGTCAAAATCTGCGCAAGGGCAGATTAAGTGGCCATTCGAGATCTCAGTGATGAGCCCTGAGCTACGCCGCTTACTTGTCGACCTCCTGATGGATCCCTTCGATGATGTGCGCCAGTCCTCGTTCTCCCTGCTGAATCTTTATAGCTCCCTAGGAGTTCATGGGGAGACTTCGGCTCCATCGAAGCTGGAGGTGTTACCTTCCTCTGCCTGCGCCGTCGCGCCTGATTTCTATCTACAAGCCCTAGATCGAGCGGAAGCAACCATGCATCAGACTGGGAGAGCGGATCATGCGGACGGAGTGGCATATCTTTACTCGCTGTATTACCAGGCTTGTATCGCGGAAGGACGCACGGAACCTGCATGGCAATACGCTGAGCAGACAGTGCTCGAAGAGAGGCTGCTGAAGAAGCTCGAGCTCTTCGTGGGAACAGCACAGAGATCGTTATCCGAAGCAGTCGCAGGCTTGCCTCTGCACGGCCTATTGACGAGTCTTCGTTACGTGCTCGTCCAGCGCCATTTGCACGTCCACGACCATAGTCATGACCAAATGCCCGACACTATATACTCATGGCTTCGACAGATCTGGGACGTAGTCAAGCCTGTGCTCTGCGATGATGCCCCAGAAGGCTACTTGCCAGAGGAATCTGAGGCGTGCGCAAACGACACAAAGGAGACGCTAAGTTATTGCTGGCGAGCACTAAAGGAGAGCAGTCTGCTGCTAGGAACGTTGGTGTCATTGGATCCGACCGCTTCCAGCGACGAAGCTGCCAATCTCACGAAGTACAGCTCTCTATGCTTCACTCAACTGGCCGAGCTTAGACACCGGGGCGCCTTCTCGACTGTCGCGCAGACCTGGGCTACTTGCTGCACACGAGCAAAAGACGCATCACACCAAGGCCAACCACAGCTGGAGATTTGGTATGAAGATATTGTGAGCAAGCTCAGAACCAATGTCACGATCAACACACGCCGCTCTGCTGGCTTCCCATCACTACTCTGTGGCGTCTTGGTGGCTGACAGGTCAGGCAAGCTGGTAGCGCAAGCAGTAACTGACCTGGAATCCATCGCACGTCAAAAGGTCGATGCGAGATCGGCCGAAGAAGGCTCCTTGGCGCAGGTGCATGCCATGAACTGTTTCAAGGACATTCTGAAGAACTCGAAGCTGGGTGAACGCTCAGAGCCATTCCTGGCGAACGCTCTGCAACTTTCCGCGGACGGTCTGCGCTCGGAAGCGTGGGCCATCCGGAACTGTGGTTTGATGCTTTTCCGGGCTGTGATCGATCGCTTGCTTGGAACAAGCGATGCGCACTTCGACGACGACGCAGAGATACAGAAGCGCATCTCTACAGAAGCGTATCCTCACCTTCTCGACGTGGTGCTCAGTCTCCTCAAGGCACCTGCAGACGGCACTACTACACGTTTTGAAGGCGTGTTCCCTGCTCTGCAACTCCTCCAGCTCACCCGGGTCCCCGAAGATCGACTGTCCGAGACAACTAGCGCCGTTGACACACTGATATCGAGCTCATCATGGCATGTGCGAGACAAGGCAGCTCGCACGTTAGCTTCCTTCACGAGCATGGATGAACTTGCCCTGCAACTTGATGAGCTTTTATCAGGAGGACCACTTCGAGAAAACCACACTCACGGTCTTTTGCTCCTGATCAAACACACCTTGGCCCAAGCGACGACTGATATAATCCAGCCAGAAACACCCAAACATGAACTTACCATCGCGTTCTACGACTGTTCTTGCCTCGCTCGATCGGTGGGAGAGTTGTTCCATCGCACAAGAAGTGTTGTGACGAAGGCGGCTAGCTTGGATGTTGTCAGAGCTTGCTCAGCTTTCCTCACCGGTATCAATACTGTAACACGCGCAAGTTATGATCACGGCGCGCTACTCCTCACGCTTGCCAAGCCCGACTCTGCCAGTGGCCATGCCATCGACGTTTTCCAAGCCATATTGGACGACATTCGGGAAGATCCCACCGCAGCTGTCATCCGCCAAGCGTGGGCTCGCCTGGTGGCCCAATATCTCTCCGCACAGCCCGTGTCAGAGCATGACTCGTGGTCAGATTTGATTGCCATGGTCGTGGAACTATCGCAGTATGACGAAGGCGCGGTGACACACTTCCTGCAAGCGTTGCATCCTGTCGGATTAGACAGTGGAAAATCAACGTCGCAGCTCGCCATGCAGCTGTATACATATATATCAGGGGGCAACGCGAGGATGGAGCTCAAGTGTACTGCCCAGCGAACGTTAATCGAGCACGCCGGAGCTCCTGGAAATTCCGTTGAGTTTGATATTGTGCGCATACAAAAGTATTCTGCGGATAGTGGTTCGACAGCCCGGTACGCCGATCAGCTTCTGCAAATCCAGGCATTACAGATCGAGTTTCTGTTGAGAACGCTACCAGTTGTACACAACGAGCTCATCGAGGATGTCTCTACATGGTCTGCTGCGTGTGTGGCGTCCATCGACGGTACTGGCGTCTATGCGCGTGAAGCGGCGGCCGAAGCACTTGGACGAGTCACACAACTTTGGCGCATCATGCAGACAGAGGAACGTCTCGAGAGCCATTTCCTCCGTTTATGTATCGCAGTCTACGATCTACTGAACGACGACGACGAGGATACCCGTCTATTGGCAATCAAAATCTGCACACGGATCATTCCTGGCACTCCACCGCGCTCTCCTGGCTTGGAGCCTATTATAGCCAGTCAAAAGCTTCTAGCGTTCTGCATCAAACGCTGGCCCTCGAGCCCTCACTTGATCGCAGAAGCTTTTCACCGTGCTTTTAGCTTCAACGAAACCACCGCCAACAACAAGGACAACAACGACGACTCTCCCCAGACCATCACCGAACGCCTAGCAACTACTAATGGGATGAATGACCGCGATACAACGCTCTTCGCCGAAGAAAAGCAAAACCTTTACATTGACGAAGCCAAAGAAGTCCGCATCTGGTCCCAGGTTCTAACGAAACTCCACGCACCTTCTATTCCCAAATCTCTGATTCAATCTCTCACGACATATGTATCCTCCGCCCTCTCCGACCTCACCGTCCACGCTCAAAATCTCCCCCAAAACTTCGACGGACCTCTTGGTTGGACTACCACCATATTAGATCTCTACAACCTCGGCCTTCGAGTGATCTATGGCGCTGAGGTGCTTCTGAACATCTCTGGTGATTTTCACGGCGTGAAGATTCCTGTGCAGCCGTCGGATTTGAGGAAGAGATTGTTCGAATTCGTTACGGCGTTGGAAAAGATTGAAGGGAATTGCTTGTGGAAATGGGAGGCTCAGAGAGTCCTGACGGAGTCTTTGTCGAGGAAGGTCGAGAGGGTTGGGGGTTTTATCGGAAGGGGGTTGGAGGAGCATATCTGATTGTGGAGGTGTGACTGATTGACTCGCTGGGCCATACATGATATGATGCATGAGTTGCTTTGGGATGGGAACGATTGATACGGAGACCCTGCATGATGATAACGGGAGTTCGGGGAGCACATTCAGATGGTAGGTGAGAAGAAGAAGATGTGTATATCACGATTTCTCGAAGCGTTGAGTGTGTTTTCATGTTTCTGGATCCATTGTCAAAAGAAGCAGGGAGACTTGTCCCTGCCGGAAACTACTGTGCCGTCCGCCCGTCCATGAGTGAAGGTTGATCTGACATTCCACCGTAAGCCCAGCACAAAAATCCCCTCACGCCTGGCAATCATTCATTCATTCGGGGAGTACAAGTCGCTCGTGTGGAGGTATACATGGCATCAGGCCAACGAGTAATCCAATTATAACGAACGACGTGATTTTGAAGCTACCTATCTCCCTGTCCATCAATCCTCCATTGCACAACAATAACAACAAAAGGCCCTCCCCTGGATCAATCAAAAAAAGAACGACCAATCAAACTCCGCCAAAAGCCCAAAACCGAAAAACGAGAGTCCACCTCCTCCACTTCCCTCCCAACTACATAACCATATACTAGATACATACATACTCAGGTACTACATCACCTCCCCACCCCCACTTCCCCCAACAACAGGTCCAATTCCAGGAACCCCCGCACTAGGCTGACCACCACTCCCACTCCCACTCCCTCCAGTCTGTCTCGGAGGTGAATTTTCCGGAACAGCCTCATTAGCAGGAGCCGTAGCCCCGGACTGAGTTCCGCCTCCTTGTCTTGTAGGAGCACGATTAGCGCTTGGTGCTCCCCCTTGTCGCGTCGGAGCACGATTCGCGCTTGGTGCTTCTCCTCCTCCTCCTCCTTGTGTGGGACGGCGGTTGTTGCTGTTTCCTGCTGGTGTGGGACCGCGATAGTAGGGGCCTCGGGATGGGGAGTTGTTGCTTGGTCCTCCTTCTTCTTCTCCTCCGGGGGTTGGTCGGGGGCGCGTGAAAGGGGGGAATCTGCCGTTTCCCGGGTGGGAGGTTATGCCGGGGGTGTCGCTTGGTTGGTTGTCGTTGTTGTCGTTGCTGTTCTGCTGGAGATGGGGTGGGGTGTTTGGTTAGTGTGGAATTGCGTTTTTTTTTTTCTCTTCTTTTCTTTGTGTGCGAGGGGGTCGGGGGGTTATGACAGGCAGTTTTCCCTTTTCGAAATTTTAGATTACGTACTGCTCCTGGTCGTATGATAGGCATATCCGGTGCTGATGCCGACCCAGCTGAAATGCCTGGAGTGTCCGCGGCGGCGTCTGTTCTGGCGACTAAGGCGGGTTCGGTCTGATACAGGGTTGTCAGAGGGTACTACTTGATTGGTGGTGGCTTTTTCTTTTCCTTTTTGTTTTCCTTGTTAACTGTCATGTTGTAGAGGAAAAGGTGCTTACTGGTGCAGTGAGAACAGCGCTGACTGCTGTGACCAAGAGAAAGGCACCGGTCTTCATGTTGACGGAGAGTCTTTTGGTGGGTGGATGAGGGGGTTGATTGAGCTGAGTTGGCTATTTGCGATTGTTGACTTGTTGGGAATGTGTTGCCTGCACAACGGTTGGTGAAGCACTGCTTCTTTATAGGTATCGTCACACAGTCACGTAGTTCAGTCGTTCGTCATGACAACAAATACCGTGTCCGCAATTCCCCGTAATTGCAACCTCGCATTTCATCGTGTAGTGGTATCTAGAGCTTTGAGACTGTTTCTCCCAACTAGTCATCGATCATGGATCAACATGAAACTGGAATTGGAGCTCTTGGACTCCTGATTCGATCTAGACTAACGCTCGGGGGCAAATGATCCAGATCGAAGATTTTTAGGGCAATGGCTGGATGCTCACTCCAACCAGAGTATGTGGGACGATGATCTGCACGGCGAATTGCCTTTCAAGATATCCACTGCCCCTCTCGCTGACGACTCCTGTTCGAGGTGCTTATACACAGCCGCAAGCGAACAATGGAGTGACGTCTGAGGATCCTTTAGGGCGCCTATCGGTATCCACTGGTTTCTGCATGGATTGCGACAGGCTTCCCTATAGTCTGGGGCCGGAAAGTTTAGCCCCCTAAGACATGTTGGAGGGCATCTACCGAAGTCTATCATGTGCATATGGGATGCTTCACCACAGCACAGCAAATTGGGTCCGCTGAATGATTCAACAGGGAGCACAAGTCTTGTCGGCACTTATGCGATGAAGGCATTGTGAAGTTGCCATTGTTGCTGCGCGAACGGATAAATGTTTCCCTACTAGCTGTTTATTCTCTCGTTTCGTCAAACATTTGACGGGTGCCTCTTGCATGGAGGCTTGAAGAAGTCATCCGCTGATTGTCTCACTTGCTGTAGGCCTGATCTCGTAGATATCATGGGCTATAATCTCGTGGCTTGAAGATGCAACTGAATGCTTTTCCGATACCATGAAGTACTTAGTCGTCTGCAAGAATGGATGGTTTTGAAGGATTTGCGAGCCCTGATACTGCCCGGATGCCCGAATGGTCATATCTTGGCAATGATGATGGTGAATCGTCAAGTGAAGTGATAGTCCATCATTCCAACCTGGAAATTCATTTGGGGCACACCACGTGCGGTCAGGGTTTTCCTGCAGTTCCCGAGATCCGAGTTCCGAGATCGTGCCTAAAATGAACATGTTCTAGACCAACAAGGCTTGGCAGCGGACTTCATTCACCTCCTCTGCTCTCCTTTCTTCTCCTTTGCCCTCCTCTGTGCCGCTTATCGTCATCCGTTTACTATATTCTCACCTCCCACACTACTTCCCCGGATTGACATGCATCTCCAATGGCCACGCTATAGCGTGCGACGTCTCTCAATGGGCATCAAGACATTTTTTGCATGTTCTTGACCCTCTACTTTGGGCATCAAGCAGGACTTTGGCCTCCGATTTGCTGTTTTCAATTGCGGAAGCACCCAGACATCGCATCGCATAGCATAGCATAGCATACTCACCATCAGGATATTCCTGTATGAGAATGTGCCCGTATTCAGCGTCAGAATTACGGACCGGAGATGGAATGTAACAAGTTTGCCACATTTCCTGGAAAACTATTCCCGTAAGCGGGAAGACCATCTTTGGGCCTCATTTTCCCCATGGAATAGTAAGAGTCTCTACTCCCTATGCTCTTCCGCCGTACTTGAAGGTCTAGATTCTCACATTCGTAGATTGGTGCATGGTGAATCTTTCGACCGCGGACTTGCCCTCGCGTTTGACTGGCGAGGAACGATCCGTCTGGCGCGGGCCACTATTGCGATCGCTCATTCGGATGCACCTAATTCTTGGTGAAGGTGGTGCAGACGCAGCCATTCAAGGCGTTTCGACGTCACACAATAGAAAGACGAAGTTGAAACCCAGGCTGGGGACTCGGGAAGGGGGAGGTGGGGGAAACACGCGTATGGGCCTCTAGGTGCTGAACGTGAAGCCCGTGTAGGGGCAGTATGCCTTTTCTCATGGCTAAGCAACTTGGGTCATCTGTTGATGGCGGTGCGACGAGCCCATTGCGTAGCGACGCCCAACCCATATTCGAGCAATCACAATCACATCTTGTCCCATGGATGAGCGCCGTCTCAAGCTCTGGATCTTGCAATAGGCGTCCTTGGCTTAGGTGTTGAGCCATAGAACCATACTCCCGACCGTCAGCATAAGGAATAACTTCATTGCCGTCGAGATCCCTAGTGTCGAAAGGATACACGTGAGCACTGGCGCCTGATCGAGTTATACCGGGAGCGTCACAAGTCGCGTGCAGTGCGCCTTAATGACCATAATGACAACGTGATCGAGTCCATACGAACACGAGGTAGCCCGCACGAGGTAGCCCGCACGAGGTAGACCGTACGAGGTAGACCGCACGAGGTAGACCGTACGAGGTAGACCGCACGAGGTAGACCGCACGAGGCAGACCGCACAAGGGAGACCGCACGTGGTGCTAAGGTAATGTCAATAAGGCGCAGCACCCTAGGATATATATACCTCTTACCCCCTAACAACTTAACAAACTCGAGGAAGACAAAGATCATGTTCGACTACCTATACAAAAGGAGAAGCCTGCGCTTCACTAAGCGCCGAGTTTCAGTTGTATAGGCTTAAAGATACTTCGAGGACAAAAAAGAATGTCTAAAACATTTGTCGACCGCTGGAGTCGAACCAAGCATCCCCCAACCAAATATGGGTGCCCTAACCGATAGACCAGATCGACAAGAACAGTCATCCTACGGTTGTATATATACTCTGGTGTCGTAATCGAGCGCTTCATGGCGTATAATCCACATGGACAGAAAGACGATGGAATCGAACGGATTGACAAGATGGACCACGTTGCAAGGTACATGTATGTATCTTCTGCTACGACAATCCATGAACCGCAAGAGCACTGCTGATTGAGGGAAGAGAATCAAGCATCCCCTAAGTGAAGCTGCCGCTATTCCTGTCTTCGTCGGGTCCCCTGACCTATGGGAGCCATTGACAAGGACACCAAAAGAGAGGCCAGCCAATGCATTGATTCGGCGTGTCAAGGCCTGTCTGTCTGTCTGTTGGTGTTGGCGATTCGAATCTCCTCCAGGCTATGACCACAACCTGAGGCCCGAGCTTGTATTTCACCAACGCACCGTGCTTGGCGCACTCCTTATACTCATCACGCACCACAATATTCGACGGCACTTCCATCGACCACGCACCACAACATTTCACGGCACTTCCATCGACCACGCACCACAACACTTGACGGCGCTTACATCGAATACTTGAGCAAGACACCGAACTCCAACGTCCGTCTCAAGAATGGATATGCCAGGCGGCGCTTCGCTCCGCGCACCAAACAGCTGTAGACAGACAGACCGCGAACCCACTCTCTCGAACCTCCCTCTGGAGATGAGAGACGCCATCTACGACCATGCCGTCACACCTTCACAGTGCACATGCTGCAGGCTCGTGCGCCTCAACACTAGCGACGGCACACCCCTCGACCACATCCCCGCATACAGTGCCAATCAAACGGCCAGAAAGTTCGAGCTGCCCAACCTTGCACTTGTCAACTCCCAATTCCATAAAGAGGTGATGTGTCACGTCTTCCTCAAGAACAACGTCTACGCCACGGTCTTCAACCTGTCGGAAGATGTCAATGCGATTCTGCGACAGATCTATGCTGGCGGCCAAGAGGCCGCGGGAAAGATCAAGAAACTGTATTTATTATACAGCAAGAAGCAGCACTATCGCGAAATCATGAAGACGCTGGTGCCGCAGCTGGCAGAAGCCGGCGTGCGAACCAAGAAAGACGACGAAGTGGTCGTTGTGAGTCGAATCATGCAGTCAAGCATGGTGCCAGACTATGAAGGACCTCGATACTCCCGCAGGGTGGCGCGCTTGCCGGGCTGTCAGTGCGAGTTCTGTATCTTGCAGTTCTTGCACGATATGCGCTGAGAAGTGCGCGCGGGTGGAGAGGACAGAACGAGCAGGCTAGCGGACACTGATGGCAGAAGAAGATTGAGACGAGGTCTTTTGCTTACTCTACAAGCTTGCATATGTATATGCGAGAGATGAAAGTGTCCAGCTTGTGACGAGAGGTATTCGAAAGAGTACATAATGCACCAAAACATTCAAGACCGTGAAAGACTCTTCCCAATGCAGTGTGAGCATACTGACCCCCTTTGACATGAACAGGAAATCATTGCAAGCCCACTCTATTGACTCCTAATTGAATTCGCCTACCGTGCCTCAGCCGTGACCTAACATATCCTTTCACTTTATTGCATTTCGCTAGAAAAAAATCAGAAAAAGAGAAAAGCAAGGAAATACAGCTAAGTACAGTATATGGTACGCCGCCTCTACCGACTCCTGAAAAAGCTCGTCCCCACTGCGCCAAGGCTATAACACAATATGTGCTTTGACTCTATCGTATCCTACTAGAAACCTAAGAAATTAGAAAGAGAAAAGCAAAGAAATACAGCTAAGTACAGTATATAGTAAGCCTCCTCTATCGACTCTAAAGGAGCTCGCTCTACTAAGCCTAGCCTAGAACAAAATATATCCTTTAACCTAATAGAGTTATTCTCGAGTTACTAAACTCTACAAGCGAAAAAGAAAAAGAAAAATATACTACGTATAGTAAGCCTCCTCTATTAACTCCGAAAGAACTTGCTCTACTGCGCCTAGCCTAGAACAAAATTCATCTTTTAATTCTCTTATACTCTACTAGAAATAACGAACTCTAGAAGAGGACAAAGAAAAGTAAAAGGTCTTATATATAGTAAGCCTCCTCTATCGACTCCGAAAGAGTTCGCTCTACTCCGCCTAGTATAGAACAAAATAGATCCTTTAACCTAATAGAGTTGTTCTAGAAATACTAAACTCTATAAGAGAGAAAAGAAAAAGAAAAATATACTATATATAGTAAGCGGCAAGCCTTCTCTATTAACTCTAAAAGAACTCGCTCTACTACGCCTAGCCTAGAACAAAACAGATCCTTTAACCTAATAGAGTCGTTCTAGAAATACTAAAATCTAAAAGAAAAAAAAGAAAAGTTAAAGACATTAAATATAGTAAGCCTCTTCTATCGACTCTAAAAGAACTCGCTCTACTAGACTACTACGCCTAGCCTAGAAAGAAATATATCCTCTAACCTAATAGAGTCGTTCTAGAAATACTAAACACTAGAAGAGAAAAAATAAAATAAAAATATACTATATATAGTAAGCCTCCTCTATTGACTCTAAAACAGCTTGCTTTACTACGCCTAGTCTAGAACAAAACATTTCTTTTAACTCTACTAATCTCTACTAGAAATACTAAACTTTAGAAGAGAGAAAAGAAAAGTTAAAGGTATTAAATAATTTAAATATAGTAAGCCTCCTCTACTAACTCTAAAAGAACTTGCTCTACTACGCCTAGTCTAGAACAAAATATATCCTCTAACCTAATAGAGTTGTTCTAGAAATACTAAACCCTAGAAGAGAAATACTAATGCTCTAGAAGTCTAGAAGAGGAAAAGTAAAAGTTAAAGGTATAAATATAGTAAGCCGTCTCTATCGACTCTAAAAGAACTCGCTCTACTATACCTAGCCTAGAATAAAATTTATCTTTTAACTCTATCGTATCCTACTAGAAATACTAAACTATCAAAAAATATACTAGAAAGAAATATACTAGAAAGAAATATACTATCAAAATACATACTATTAAAAAATATACTATTAAAAAATATACTATAAAAAAATATACTATAAATCTAAAATACTTGCCTACTATACTTAAAGTATAACGTATAGTATATTATATTTTTTAACTTAACTCGAGTATACTATAAATACTAAACTTAGAAGTAAAAGAACTAAAAAGAAAAAAAAACTAAATACTAAAATTCCTCTAATAGACTCCTAGTAACCTTGCCTACTATACCTAGCCTAGAACCAAATATATCCTCTAACAAAATATACTATAAGTTACAACTCCTCTTATTAAATCTTCTAACAAACTCTTCTACTATACCCTTACTCTTACTCTTACTATAACGCAATACAATATATTCTCTACCTTAATTAAACCCTTCTAAAAAATTTAGAAGTTTAGCTAAGAAAAAGAAGTCTTATACTTCTTAAATATACTATCTCTTCTCTTGCTCGCTTACTTACTTATCTCCTTTCTTCTTATCTCTTCTCTAATTTAGAAATCTAGAATCTAGATACTAAAGGTATCTTGTTTATATTTTATCTTACCTTACCTTATCTTACCTTACCTTACCTTACCTTCCCTTCTATATTATTGAATATAGGTACGAATATAGGAATATAGAGACGGACGAATAGAGGAATAGAGAGATAGAGAGATATAGGAACGTAGGGACTAAGGGACGAAGGGACGGAGGGGACGGAGGGACGTACGTATATACGTACGGGACGGACTAGATCAGTTATAGACCAAACTATGTGGATTGCCTGGTAACATAGGAAAATCAATAGAGGAACCTAGCGCGTAGGTAGAAAAACAGAATAAAAAAAGGGGGAAAGGGGAAAAAGGGGGGGAGGGGATTTGGTCTAGTATGTTACGAAGAAGACCACCCAACACGAAAACCTAAGGAGTAAAGGGATTGAAAAAAGAAATGAACAGTAGTAGCATTGAATTGAATTACTATCATAAGGCTCGTAAAATCTTGTCTTCGTCTCAAAAAATAAATGACATGATACTCAGGATCCCCCCAAAAAATGCAGCCGCCTAGCAGGGCTTTCAGCTTTCAGGTGGCTGACGCTCAGAACGCAATGACAAAACCTCGAATAATCATCGAATAGATCATCCATCGCGCCGCATGACACCTTTCCTACTATGACCCTCCTTCTCTCCGTGCTCATACTGTTGTCTACTCTTCCTCTCCCTACTGACTGACTTTCAGTCCGCTCTCCTTCAAGATCCGAATGGTGTCTTCGGGCGAATAACCAAAAAAGACAGGACCATTGATCACGATCGTCGGTTGCTGGAGGTGCGACAACGCTTCGGCTGGCGACGGTGCTGTTTTCTGGTCTGGCGGAGCTCGACTTGCTTCTGGCGGTACGGCGGGTTCGGCTATGGTGGGCTTGCCATGCGCAGCACCGTCCTTGGCAGCAGCAGCAGCAGCAAAGGCAGCGCCCATACCTGCGCCGGCTTTCATCTCCTTGTGATCAAAAGGACATTTGCCAGCTCCACCACTCATCTTGGGCATGGGGTTGGTGCCTGTTGCATCAATAGCTGCGGGTTGCTGCTGTAGTGCTGCTGGTGAAGAGATGACTCGTGCAGGCTTACTGCCAATCTCATCTCCGCTTTCCACATCACCAGCAACGTCTGCGTACTTCGCCGGGACATGTATGCCCCAGGGACGACTCGGCGACTCTCCCACTCGAATGTCTCGCACGGGTCGTTCGAAATGAGGTAGACGTTCCTCTGTTTGCTCTTCTACCTCCACCTCCGCATCGGGTGCTTGTGCGCTGACACTTTTCGCCCACTTCCGGATCTTCTCATCACTCAGAGCCTTTTCACTGCCGTCGACATCGTCTTCCTCGTCCTCGACGACAATGTCTTCTGGCAGCATTTCTTTGTGTCGTTGACCAAGTCCCTGAATCATAGAGACAAGATTACCATACTTGGCGTCCAGTTCCTTGATCTGTTCTTCATTGCTCTGATATCGCATGACGCACACTTCATGACTTCGTGGAAGTTCGTGCTTGTGTTTCTCAAAGTAGGTGGCAACTTCCTCGGGAGAATGCTGATCAAGGAAGCGGATGGGACATACGCCACCTTCCACGCTCTCAATCTGTAATTTGTCGGTGGGACCTTTGCTCGGAGCGACAAGACTGGGTGCTTTTTCATAGTGTGGGGATGGGCCCGTGTGATCGGAAAGGCCACAGATCTCCGCCTTGATCGGGTCAATCATGCTCGCCCTCCTGCTCCGCCTCTTCGAAAAGCTCTCTCTTCCATTGACACGACTTGCGTTGTTGGTCGAGGTGCTCCCCGTCACCACACTGCCGCCGCTTCCATTTCGTTCGTATCTGCTCAGCACACTAGCGGCGTGCGAACTCAACTTCTTCTTGGCCATGCTCGCAAACGGACAACCCAACTTGCTCGGCTTCCCTTCCACAGTAAAGTCTTGTTCGAGAGGTGATTCCGCGATGCTGGGCATCAAAGAGCTCGAGGCATCTGGGTTGTCCGCTGCTGGGCCGGACCAGATCTTTACTCCTGCGTCTGGCACTTCGGGCACAGCGTGTCTCAAGCCGTTAGCTGCGATGATGGCCGTCCGCACTTTGTTCGCTGCCCGGCGCGATTTCTCGTCGCTGCTCCTGTCCAGTATTTCTGCTGCCGTCTTTGGCACAACCCCTTTGTCTTTCGAGCCTCCGGCCGAGGAGATGAGGCTCAGTGGTGGCGTCGCAGTCTCGTTGGCGCAGTAGAATTTCGCGAGCTCGTTGTACTGGGGGAAGATTCGTCAGCTGTCTAGGTCTGTCTGCGCCGCCGTGGCAGAGATGGTATCGGAGCAAGCAAAGAAGCAATCAGAGTCAATTTGAAAACAGTCTATCATTGTCGCGTCATGACGACTACAGATTCAACATGATGATGATCATCATAGTAAGGTAGGTAAGGTAGGTACAGGTAGGGAAAAAGGAAGATGCAGCAGCAAGTTCCATGTAGGTACATACCTGCTCTCTCGCGGTCGCAAGTTTCCGTTCCAGGATGGAGTGACTCCCAAACAGCTTCTGGTATTCATGCTGCAGAGCGTCGAAGCCGGCCGACAGCTGCTCGATTAGCCGGTCGACTTCGAGGCTGTTGTCCATAGGAGAGGCCTGCGGTCGGTCGGTGTGGTGATGGTGTGACGCCGTGTGCCGATGTGTCTCGCGTTATGTCGTGGCCGACCGGCGCATATCCTGGTCGAATCTACTGTCTCGGAACGGTCGGCTAGGCGATGGAACGCGTGCTAGAACAATAAGACCCTGGTCAATAGGAGCTGAGCTGGTATTTGGGAGGAGTATGGTATGGCGTACAGAAGCAAAAGACGAGAGTACAGGATGTAGGTACATGTACCTGATGTTTGTGGAGAGAAGGTAAAAGTCTCAAGTTCTGCGCGTCGTCATACCACGAGGCAGAGTGCGACGACGGCTGTTGACAAAGGATTACTAAGGTAGGTAGGTACCAGATCTTATCAGATTAAATCAAGTCCTCTCAAGAACAAGGCTACCTTTTAGGTACGTAGCTTAGCTCCTCTTACTTGTGAAAACTAGCTGATGCCGATGAAGGTCGTGCTTGAAATCGACGCCGAGAATGAGTTTGTGCACAGCGGTTTCTGGCCATGGGTGAAGTTTTGGTTGGAAACACTCTTACTGTATGAAGTAGGGGACAACTCCCATCCCTCACACATGCATACCTGATTAGCAATAGCAGTTGAAGTCCCGACATCACTTGCGCCTCAAATACTTGATATCGGATGGGACCCTCTCGTTGGCACAGTGCTTCGTGATCCGTGGGTGCATCTCAACTCGCTCAAGCGACAACCCTTTGTTTGGATTGATAACCAGTAACTATGTACCTTATAGTAGAGGTCAGAAGATTGCCCGATAAAGGGCTCAACGAAGAGGCCTCAACGCTTACCTGCTTAATCAAATCTGTAGCTTCCGTGCTGACGAAGCTGGGGATCTTCGTCTCCGCCCGAGCAATGCGCCTATGTAGTCGTCATAATCGAGGTGTCCTCAAAGGGTGCTTCGCCCACGAGACATTCATATGCCAAGTTGCCAACACTCTCCCTCCCACCCTTCTCCCCTCTACGAATCTCTTCCTCCGCTGCCTGAGAATGGGAGTCAGGTAGATATGTAGGTAATGTAGTAAAGTAGGATCGTCAGATTTCTACTTACTACTACGGTAGCTACCTAGGTACCTACCTTAGACAGACCATGCTGACCCAAATCACAACAAAAGCAAGGATTGACACCTATCACACCATGAACGCCGTACCCGAGCAAACACTCACTCACTCACTCACTCACTCACTCGCAGCCGACGAAATGGTTCGACTGTGGGTATCTAGTAGTAGAAAAGGAAAAGCACAACATGAATGCCGCAAGGGAGAAATGCCAACCAAAGAAAACAACAACAACAACAGTCGGGTAATTGCTCCCCTCTGCCCTTCCATCCCCTCATCATACGCACGACTCCTTTCTTTCCATTTTTTGCAACGAACACGCCGTTGATGCGCTCGTCGAGAGAGTACGACCGCAATCGTAATCTTCTCTCATCCCATCCAATTTCGCCACCTCGCCTACTCGCCTTCGGCTCTGGTCTTTCCACACGATCATCGCCACTCATTTCAATCACATCGAAAATATCTCTTCTCATCTTTTCATTCCCCAAGTCGCACGCGCTCGACCTGGCTCATGAGTCTTCACTGCTCTCCTAGAGATCAATCAAGCTCCCGCCTTGACTCTGCTGCTGCGGTTGTCCAGGTCTGGGCCCAAAGGGATTGTTCCCTCCAAATCCAGCTCCAGGCCCACCAAACTGTGCAGCGGGACCAGTCTGAGCGGGGTATTGCGTTGGTGCTTGGCTGAAGAATGGGTTGGTGCCAGTCTTGGCTGCCTCGAGTCGACCCATGGACCCCGCACCAGCCGAATTGACATAGGTGCCAGGTGCCGTGTGCTGAGCGGGAATACGCATGTCACCGACATTTCCAAAAGTATCCTGCCCTTCGCCGCTCGCGAGAAGAGAGTTTAGCTTAGCTTGGTATGGGTCTTGTGGTGGACGGGAGGTTTGTTGTGGTTGCACAGGAGATGGTACCGGTGGAGGTGCGGAGAAATTCTGGATGGGGTTTGGTCGGGATTGGAATTGCTGGGTCGTTTGTTGTTCTCGTAGTGTATCGAGAGTTGGCTGGCGGAAGGGCGACGAGGTTTGTCGTTGTTGAGTGTGCGTCGCAAACGGGTTGTTGGACCCAGTAGGCTGTGCGGAAATGGGGGTCGATAGTGTGGTATTATTGCTCGCCCATGGGTTGTTCGAGCCTGCTTGCGCTGTAGGTTGCTCCTGTATCGCCTGTTGTTGCGGCTGTTGCTGTCCGGTCATCTGATTACCCCAAGGATTGTAGGTGCTCTGGGGTTGGATGAACTGCTGGGCGGGCTGCTGCATCTGTTCCCAGCCAGTCTGTTGTGGTTGCTGATAGCCGTATCCGTTCTGGAACGCTGTCTGCTGTGGTTGGAGACCAGTAGGCTGGCTGTAGGCGTTGTTCAGGTAGCCCGTCTGCTGCGACTGCAAAGGGTTCCCAAACCAATCGACCGCGGCCTGCTGTTGATAACCCTGGTTGAAGCCCGTCGGTTGGGGCGCCTGATCGGGAGTATTGTCGAACAGTAGGTCTTCCTGCTGCTGATCCTCCAATTGCCGTTTGCGCAGCTCTTCTTCCTCCTTGCTCAGCTTAATGGCCTTGGCCAGATCATCATCCGTGTCGAAACCACTGCGCTGTGCCCTTCTTTCTGCGTCTAGCTCGGCTTCATTCTTTGACGCCTCCAATGCTAACTTGTACTCGAGATCATCGTCGTCGTTTTGTGGTCGTCTCCGCACTTGCTCTCGCTGCCTGGGCGTTGGATCTCCTCCGAGACCAAACTCCTCGAGTCCAGTAACGCGCGACTTCCACGATCCGCGATTGGTTCGCTCCGCGCGCAGTCGTTCCTCGTCCAAGATGAGGGATGTCAGCTCCTTCGCGGAGTGTCGGACTTGTCATTGTCAGCTTCTTCTCCTGTCCTCGTCGGCTCCTGTAACACTTACTGCTGGCGCCCACATCCCTGCCATCCTCGTCAATGTGAATGAACTCGCGCAGAGTCTTGATGATATAGATGTTCTTCCTAGCCCATGTGACCACCAATTCCGACCCTTCGTGCAGGCAGTAATCCAGCACTTTCAGACTCTTCAGCACGTGTCTCCAGTTCTTCCCTTTGTCGTTCAATCGCTTGTCCAGCATGTCCATAACTTCGTAAAAATCGGTGGAGCTGTAGTGTACCATCTCACGGTCAGCGCAGTCTGGGAGAATACCGCCCGATGTCGCGGACCGACATGGATGACTGGCAACGGGTTATCACACTGGAGACTCGCCTGTTGTAGGTAATTCTGGCAACATCGGCCATGTCTGCGCCTGTTGGACCCCATGGGTCATTGCTGGTTGCTGTCCTCAACCGTCAGCCGCTGAGTCTGGATATCGCCGGGCCGCAGGAGGTTCTGTACCATTTCGGACTTTGACCTGGACGGAGGAGTAGCCTTTGGTGACATTCTTCACGCTTCGTAAGACCGACGACATGTTGGCGGATTAGGCGGCAACCACAGTCGCGCGAATGCGTGAATAGGAGGGCTAGTCAAGGCTGCGGGTGTGGATGGAGGATATGCGGTCGGCGAGATGCAGTCAATGTCAGCGGAGAAGAAATGGGTCGTAAAACTTTCTCTCTCTCTCTGTTTCTCTCTCTTTCACAACTGTTGGTGGTGATCTTTGAGGGAAGCTGAGGCAACCTTGTAGCCGCAATGCGACGCGCAATGACGCAGCAAGCCACAAGTGAAAGTCACATCACCTCAGCCTTGAAGACGGCGCTTTTTCGTCCGTCGGCACATCGAGCCACCACACCATTGTCAATGCCTGAGGTGTTGCTAGGGTACGGTCACGACTACATGTACATATATACCTTATACTCTCATGCCTATGGTATCCAACGTCAATGAGGCCTAATGGAAATGGGTCTGGCAAAGGGACACCTTGATCACTGTGACTCTGCTGCTACCTCCTACCAGCGCGTGTCTGTCTGCTGTGAACCATGAGGAAACTCTCATCTCTCGGCTGGACAGCCCGCATGTGATCTGGGAAGTTCCGGCCCGCTTTTTATTCTTGGCGCTCACACCTCAATAATTCTCTCTCTTCGCGAACACCACAGAACTTCTTTTCTCCAAGCTTGTCATAGCCCAACATCACGACCTTCCCTCTCCTTCACATCACCGGACGTCAACATGGTAAGCATCATGGAATACGGCACGAATGAATAGTCATTTGCCTCTGCTCGCTGATCAAATGCGCATTTTTCGCACACGCGACTCGGCGGGCATGCATTGGCAATGATGGAATTCGAATCCACCGCCATCTCTGAGGAGTGGCGCGTGTGACTATGGCTTGAGCTGTGTCGGGCAACCGCACAGTCTCTTTAGAGAAGGCAGCAGTCGCTGATTGTTCTTCTCAATGATAGCCTCCAGCAAAGAGCGGTGGAAAGAAGGCTGCTCCGGCGCCATTCCCCGCCACCAAGGCCGGTGTCAGCAAGAAGCAGGCCAAGGTATGTCCCACCTCTACCTCTTCTGGTCAGCTAATATGAGGGTACTGACGTGTTGCAGAACCCGCTCATTGAGCGCCGTCCACGCAACTATGGCATTGGCCAGGACATCCAGCCACGCCGCAACCTTAGCCGTATGGTGAAGTGGCCAGAGTACGTTCGTCTGCAGCGCCAGCGCAAGATCTTGAACATGCGTCTCAAGGTCCCACCGGCTATCGCCCAGTTCTCCAACACCCTCGACCGCAACACCGCTACCCAGGCGTTCAAGCTCCTCAACAAGTACCGACCAGAGACCAAGGCCGAGAAGAAGGAGCGTCTGCACAAGGAGGCTACCGCTGTCGCCGAGGGCAAGAAGAAGGAGGACGTGAGCAAGAAGCCATATGCCGTCAAGTACGGTCTTAACCACGTTGTGGCGCTCATCGAGGCCAAGAAGACCTCTCTTGTCCTCATTCCCAACGATGTGGACCCCATCGAGCTGGTCATCTTCCTCCCAGCTCTCTGCAGAAAGATGGGTGTTCCATACGCCATTGTCAAGGGCAAGGCTCGTCTCGGAACGGTCGCTCACAAGAAGGTGAGCCATACTCTTTTCTCCCATGCATGATTTCTATACTAATCTGTTCTCCAGACCGCTGCCGCCCTCGCTATCACCGAAGTGCGCGCTGAGGACAAGAACGAGCTCTCCAAGCTCGTCCAGGCCGTCAAGGAGGGTTACCTCGAGAAGAACGAGGAGGCCAAGCGCCACTGGGGAGGTGGTATCATGGGAGCCAAGTCCGTTGCTGCCACCAAGAAGGCTGCCCAGCGTGCTGAGCGTGAGATCAAGATCTAATTGGTCCACTGTCTCCTTCACTTGTTTGTGCATATCAAGCATGGCGTTCAAAAAGCACGACAAAAGTCATGTCTGTTGCTGGTGGGGTTGTTTAGCTTATGGGAATGATACCACGCTGAATGAAAAGAAGGCACTCAATCACTGTGGCTGCTCGCCCCGCAGCAAGGACGATGATCTATATCTCTTGTTTGCATTTTTCTTTTCCCAAAGTCGTAAACTCTTGACCCCATTGGTCTGCGAACATCGTTGTATCATGCACATGCAAGAGACTTTTCACTACCGAGCTCGTACTCAACCGTCGCACCTGCCATGCGGGACCGGCATCTCGAATGATTTGGCCGACTTGACAGAATTTTTCATTCTCCTTTCCACTTCACTCGACTCAACATCGCGAACCAAAGACCCCCAGATCTGCCATATGAACCACTATAGTCATCCATGTACGCGACCGCTTCCATCTTTCCACTGACTACCCCAGCTTGAGCTTGACTATATATCGACGGCATGGTAAAATCTGTTATTTGTCTGTCTATCTATCTATCTCTCTCTCTCTTTACCTATCTGTCTCTCTACTATCCCTCTACATACCTATCTATTCAAACAAAGTCCGCTAGGTCCATAACTTCGTACCTACTATTCTCTTCTTCTTCTTCCTCTTCTTCTTCTTCTTCTACCCAAAATTCCCGCGAAACTCCCTATACCGTACCGCACCGTACCTATTAGCTAGATAGGTAGGTACATGTATTTGAAAACTTTAGGATGAAAAGTGCTCTATCAATTAATGATAAGACAAACGATAATGAAAATATCTGTCTGTTTATTAGGTAGGTAGCATATTGAGAAATGAATATCATTTCTTTTTATTCATTTTTTTGTTTTCGGTCCAAGGCGCGAGATTGTACCTTATAATCAAATTAAATCCGAATGTCAAGCAGGAGGGAGGGTTCGCTTTCTAGGAAGCGCTACCTACTTTACTTTACGTCCTACCTAATGTATCGGGCTGTAGAGAATGGTTAGGTATTAGATCGTAAGGTAATGACCTGCGAGGGCGGGCAGTCAAGTCTCAACCACCTCCTACATGTAGGTAGCAGGCAGAATCCAACGAAGTCCCAAGAGTCAGAATGCTTGGTTGCGTTGCTTGCTGCTGCTCGTACTCGGTCACAGGGTCGGCCACGTGCACTTCTTCTAATTCTCGGCACGTTTCACACGCGAGTGGAGGAACTGGCGCGAAACGATATAGATACATAAAAGTATACTCGCTGCGGGGATTACTATTGTAGGCTACCGATGCGACACATACTCTCTCTTTCTATGTACATGGGAACCTCAGACACTATCGAGTGAGGAACATTCTCTCCAAATTCTAGTTTTGCCTCGATTGATTCAATTGGACATCTTTTCCAATTGAATCACGATTTTTTTTTTCTGTGATCCTTCGCTCCATCCTTTAGCATGTGTCCAGCGAGTCGCACTCGTTCTTGAGAGCCTCGGGCTTGATGAGCCTCAAGATGTCGTATTGTCCGCAAAACTCCCTGGACTTGAAGAAGCTTCCGTCCACCGAGGCCACTCGGAAGTTGAACAAGAATTCGTCTGGGTTCTCGCCTCCTGCAGCCAGCTGGAGACCTTCCGCTCCTGGGTTCGAGTATCGATAGATGATGTCCATGAAACGCTTTGTGTTTGGTTCTAGAAAGACATCGAACACGGTGTCACTCTTGGCGTTGTCGGCGCGATTGCAAGGAACGGACCATTGTCCTGGAGCCATTTGTTCCAGATCGTCGCCCTTGCAGATGATGTCTTCGGCGTTGGTGGCGTTGTTGTTGTTCGCATCGTCCCAGCTGTGAACGGAAAGCTTGGTGTCTGTGAGAGTGGCGTTGAAGTAGAGACAACCGTATGCCGAGCTTGCGAAGAGCGAGCTGGCCAGCGCCAGGAATGTTGTAGTGGCTGTGCGCATTGTGGATGGTGGTAGATGTGAAGTAGTGGCGAGGAAGATCGATATGCTGGAGAGTCGGGATGTTGTTTTGGTGGTGAGCTGGAGTTGCGCGGGCGAGGAGAGGTCTATATACCTTGGTCGAAACTTGGCAGAGCGCTCCGAAATTCCACAGCCTCGTTGCAACGCACAAGAGGGAGGCGGTATAATTTTGGCATTGGAGGAGATCCCTAAACCCGGTAAAGCATCCCAGATGGCCTGGTAACCGTGGTCTCCGTACAAGGTTTATGGTCTCACTCGGAATTTGAACGGCCAAGCTGACTCTCACACATGACGAAGCCAAGAGATATTGGCCCAGGGCCTCGCGATCATACGGAAGATGGAAGAGAAGTGAAGGCAATGCTGGAAACTTGCGTCGTCTTCACATCATCACATGAGCTTTCTCTGTGCTTCCAACGTCTCGGATGGCTCGTAACACCAGCCACCAAGGAGTGTCGGGAAGTAGAACAACTTGTAAGCGCCAAAGACAGAAACGAAGGCTACCGGATATGGATGGGAGACTCATGTGAATAATATCAGCGCAAGTTTGGACTCAATATGCATCTACAACGTGTCTACTATGGCTTCGTGTTGCTCCGGAACGAGCGCCGGATGCGTGATTCGAGGCCGTACTCGTCGGTCGAAAAGGCAGCAACGAGGAGATTGGGTGCTTGAGGATGCTGCTGAGGCCCGGCGTGATAATCTGACATGACTTTATAATTCCCACTTCAACGCAACGAACGCGTGGTGTGAGTGGAAGAAGATGGTGAGGCGGTCGATGCGTGGAGTGGGTTGGAAGAACGAGACGCGAAGAGAAGAGTGAGACAAGAGTCGGCTGTTCCTGCGCTCGGGAACCGCAGCGGCCCGCGATTGATGATGACTCAGTCAGATTTTCTCGTCGCGTATCCCAATCGGCGTTTCCAGAGGGGAAATCCAGAAAGATTTCAGTCAGAAACCACCTCAGATACACACTACACTCCACCACCTTGTGCATGCGCTACTCACTCCCCAGAATCACACTGACCACTGTTCGATACAACGCCTCGACTTCACCATCACGATTCCCATACCAGGCGACCCAGCGACCACTGTATTCGCGAGGCCGAGTTGGCCAGAATTACCTCTCCACCACTTCTCTGCGCTCACACATTTCGCAAGAGTGGAAGCCACCTACAATGGCCCTCTCGAATGGAAGCGCTAGTCAGGTGGCCGACATAAAGCACATTACTTCCCAGCTGCAGTCTGTAGGCATTTCGGAACTGCCACAGCCAGCAGGAGTGCTGCTACATCCACAGCGCAACCCAGTCGACATATATCGCGCAGTCATCATCGATCAGCTGCACAAGATCACTGGAGCAGAACCCGAGATTGTTAAGAATGCCGTGGCGTGGACACAGGATCAGAAGCATGGCGACCTGGTGCTCCCAGTGCCTGCATTGCGGCTGAAGGGCAAGAAGCCGGACGAGCTAGCTGCTGAGATTGCTGAAAAGTTTGACTCGCCCTTGATTGAGAAGCCGACAGTGGAGAAGACCAGTGTTCGATTCTTTTTCAAGCCAGAGCCATTGGCGAAATTCGTCCTGCCCGCCATACATCAGCAACAGGGCAACTATGGCTTCAATCCCACACTGGGCCTCGAGGATCCATCACAGCCGCAGAGTCGACACAAGAAGGTGATTGTGGAGTACTCAAGTCCAAATGTGGCCAAGGAGTTTCATACGGGGCATTTGAGGAGTACTATCATTGGCGGCTTCTTGGTGAAGATGTTCGAACGCGCGGGTTGGGAAGCGATATCAATGAACTATCTGGGAGACTGGGGCAAGCAATATGGTATCCTATCGGAAGGATTTGAGAAATACGGAGATGAGAACGAGCTATTGAAAGATCCTGTCAAGCACTTGAACACCGTCTACGTGAAGATCAACCAGGACAACTCGGCAGAGCAGAAACCAGCATCAATACTTGCCGAGAAGAAGGCCGAACTTGAAAAATTGAAGAATCCACCTAAGCCGAAGAAGCAAGCGAAGAGTAAGGAAGCCGAGACAGCCTCAGCGCCGAAGTGGACCGACGAGCAAGAGCAGGAGCTACAACGGGTTACAGCAGAGCTTGAGAAGGTGCAGCAGGAGCTCGTCAATAAGCCAAGTATCGACGAAAAGGCACGTCGGTTCTTCAAACGCATGGTTGATGGTGACGAAGCGGCGTTGAAGAATTGGCAAAAGTTCCGCGATGAGTCAATTAAAGCGTACGAGGGCATGTACTCGCGTCTGAACATCAAGTTTGATGACTACAGCGGCGAATCCACGGTCAAGGTGGAAGACATGGAGAAGGTCGCTACCGTGCTCGCCGAGAAGAAGATCAGCGAAGAGGACAGGGGAGCCGTAATCGTTGACCTTTCGAAACACGGGTTACCTACACTTGGCAAGACACTCGTCAAAAAGAGCGACGGTACCTCGCTCTACCTGACTCGTGACCTGGCGGCCAACCTGGAGCGTTATGAAAAGTACCACTTCGACCACATGATCTACGTGATTGCATCGCAGCAAGACGTGCACGTCAAGCAATTGTTTGCCATTCTCAAACTCATGGGCCCGCCATACAGCGACGTTGTTGCCAAGTGCAGCAACATCAGTTTCGGCATGGTCAAGGATCCCAAGGGCCAAACCATGTCCACTCGAAAGGGCACCGTCATCTCGCTGGCCGACAGTCTAGACTCTGCAAAGGAGTTCATGCATGAAGTCATGCGTCGAAACGAAGACAAGTATAAGCAGGTGGAAGAACCCGAAGCTACTGCGGACACATTAGCCATCTCGGCCATCATGGTGCAGGATTATAGCGGGAAGATGGTGAATGGGTACAACTTTGACCTGGAGAAGATGTGCAGCTTTGAAGGTGACACGGGCCCATATCTGCAGTACTCGCATGCCCGCTTGTGCTCGATCAAGCGGAAAGCCGAGGTATCGGAGCAGGAGATGCTGGCAGCAGACTTCAGTCTGATTACGGCAAAGGAAGGCATCTCACTGATTCGATCGTTGGCGCAATGGCCCGACGTGTTTCTCAACACCTACAAGACGCAAGAGCCCGTGACGGTGCTGACGTATCTGTTCAAAATGTCCCACTTGTTGAGCTCGTGCTACGATGCGATTGACCGCAACAACAAGAATGCAAAGACGTTGAGTGTCATGTATGCAGAGAGTCGGGAGAAGAAGATGGCACTGATGGCCATGTATGAAGCCGCACGGATCGTGCTGAATAATGGCATGCAGCTGCTCGGACTGACTCCTGTCGAGAGGATGTAATCCCGCAATGATGTGACATAGCGGAGCAGTACTAGTACTAAGGTAGTCAAGTACCTGATGAATGCACGAATGAAGCGACGTCGAACCTTGGACAGGACATGATAGATGTCACTGACAATAAAAGAAAAGTGATATCGAGAAACAAAAAAAGAGAAGAAAAAATCAAAAAATCAAAAAATAAGATACCCCAAACGTTGGTTCGTTCGTCCCCCCTCCGAGCTCTCTCTTTCTCCTCTCCCCTCTCCCCCTCTCCCCCTCACCCCTCCATACCTATCATAAGGTACATACATACATACCTTATATGTACTGTATATGAGAGCTCGTCACACAGCAGCAGTAGTGCAAGTAAGGTAGGTTGCCGCTCATCTGCCGGCGGTGACTTCATTACACACACACAGATATGGAAAGCATGCACGCAAGCAAGCAAGCAAGCAAGCAAAAGTATACGGTACCTTCGATACATCCTATCCCTTAGTAGCCGGTGTTTTGGTCGTTTGGTTGTTTGGTCGTTTGGTTGCTATATGCAAGTCATGCACGCATACCTTATCTATCGACACCTCCCTTAGGTAGGTATGTAAGGTAGGTAGGTAGGGTAGGTCAGGTAGGTCAGGTGAGGTAAGATATCTGCCGAAATACATTGGATAGTCATTTTTGGAAAAGGTTGGGTGAGGTGTAGTGTATATACATTTCCTGCCTCCAGGTGTCTATGATGATGATGATAGGTGGTGTGAATGATAAGGTAGGTGTAGGTAAATAGATAATGAATACAGGCTAGGTAGGTAGTTCAGGTTGAGGTATATACCTTAGGATAAGGTAAAGTACCTAGGGTAGAGTAGGTATAATTCTTCGTGCTCTATCTAGAATATATGTATAGTCTTATCAGAGGTAAGGAACCTAGTATGTAGACAGGTAGGTGTTTTGGTCTGCGAGTATAGGACAGGATCGTACTACCTACTACCTCCTAGTAAGATAAGAAGAAGGTCTTGGAGGCTTCTACTTCTCTATGCTCAATTGCATATGCACGCTAGATGGGTGGCAAATTCATCCTGGAGTAGATACACCGTACATGTACCTCTCTGCAGGTATCTGACCCCCCTGCCGAAAGTGAGTGGCTGTTACTGCCAAGACTTGAAGACTGCCCGACCAAATTTTGCTGTTTTCCTTCTCATCCCAGGCCTGCGCTCCTGCGCTAGACAGAATCCTCCTTGCTACCTGATTTTCCTTTTTTTTTTCTCTTACCGAAGGGTTTCATCTACCTAGGTACCTACCTTACCTTACCTTACCTTTTCACCCTGGGCACGAACCCATCAATGCAATGCTGTCACTCAGCATCGTTGGAGACTTGGAAATGGAGCGACAGCCATTCTACCTATTTTTGGTGCAAGCAATTCGGGAACAGTTGAATGAGAGGATGGGAGATGACCACGCAGGAGAGCAAAGCACAATAATAATAATATGGACTAGGGATGAATGAAAGCCAGCGCTTCCGAGGAGGTAGCTATATATATTTACACAAGATGAGTCAAAGAAAATCAATGGTAGAGATGAATCCACGAGGCTACCTACCTACTATACTTCCTACATCATCGTCATCATCATCATCGTCCACCTACGGTGGTACTACATACAGGTACTGACAAAAGCAGGTTCTGGTCTGGTCTGGTCAGGTCAGGTCAGGTCAGAGGTCAGATTCTTAAATGTGATGATTATTAATAACTTCCATACCTCTTCTCCCGTCTCTCCCAGTCTCCCTCTTACTGGAACAAGGCAAGGCTCTCGGGTCATACATCGTCTTTTGTCCGGAGAAGAGCGAAAATGATAGCTGGTAGCCTCGTAGTCCTAGGAGGTAGTGCCGTCATCGCTCAGGCAGTGTGCAACGCCGTGTCACCACAATCACATACACTCACCCCACACTCACACAGCTACTCTTACTTTCTACATTCACGCACATCTCAAGGGGGGGGGGAATTGGAGTGGAATGGAGGAGGGGAGAGGGGAGGGGAGGGAGAGAGAGAGGAGAGGACAACAATACAGTAGAGTACAGTCAGTTGATGATGACTGTGTGCGGTTGTTTCGTTCAGACGCTTCAGTCTCTGCAGTCATTCTTCTTTTTCTTTTTCTTCTGCCTTCTGCATACCTCCTAGTGCCCAAAGGTACATCCGCACCCCAGACGCCGGTTGGGCTGCTGTCTCAGATGCTGCCGACCTAAATGGCCCATGTCGGGTGTTGATGCCCAGCGACCGACAACTCGGCTTTACCAGCGACAGGTACTGTAGGAGGTACACACACGCACACACAGACACACGCACACACAGACACACGCACACGCACACGGCACACCCACACCCACACCCACACCCGCACCCACGAATATCATCATCACCTCACCTACCTACATTACCTACTATAGGCACATCATACATGTACCTAGTCCTACATGTACCCTACTCTCCCGACCGCTCCACCCAACGCCCGCCTCAAGAAGCTGTCTGTCGCCTGTCGCCCGCCGTCCTCTGCATTACCTGACCTTCCACATCCACATCATCATCATCCTCACCACCACCACGTCGTTCTGCACTCTCTCTGCAGACACCGGTGAGCTTGTGCAGCCCAACGGGGGGTCCTGCTTCCACTACTGCACACCTGCAGTCTGCACTCACTCTGCACTCTGGTTCGCGCGCAAACAGTCACTCTGACTTGCAGCACATCCTGTCACCACCAATCTACTCTCTGCGCGCCGACGACAATGCCACTGCACTGCCCGAGACACCAACAACAACCACGACAACGGACAATGAATTCACTGCTACGAGGCACCACCACCCTTCTTCGACCACTATCCGCCCTCTGCACATAGCGAGCGAGCGAGCCTTGTATCCACCATTCCATTCAAACCTCGACGTTGACCGAGCAGAACAGACTCACCAGAGAGAGAGAGAGAGAGAGAGAGAGAGAGAGAGAGAGAAC